GGGGGGGGGGGGGTGAGGCGTGCGGCGAGGTCAGGCCGCGCTCACTCTGGTCGTCTGGCATTTGCTAGTAGTGAATTATTCCAGGGAAACGGTCCACTACCTCGGCAAAGGGAGCAGATGAGCAGGCTGGCTTAATCGCGACACCGTTAGGCCCCTCTTCCTCGCGACTACGTTTCTTTAAATATTTAAATTATTGTGAATATTTCTATAATTGAACCCCAAACTTATCTACCTTTCTTGCAGGTGAGCATAAGAACTTGTTCCAGAGGGCAATGCGGCATTGGGAAAATTATACCTGTGTGTCATTTGTACCTAAATTGGAACATCATAAGCACTATATAATGTTCACGATCGACAAGTGTGGGTACGTTCATTTTGTCTTTCGCAAGTTTCCGACAGTCAAATTATGGTTCATTTGGCATCGAAACAAGTTTTCACTCGGATTGCCCGTCCAGATCACTGGAGCGATTGGATCGCGCGAGGTCGTGTAGTATGGATAGGTCAGGGAACATCATTGGTTGGGGATTTTGGTCGAGTCCGTACGACCCCCCCCCTCCCTTTTTTTTTCTCTTGGGGAAATGGTGCGACCCGCCTCTGACCCTGGAGTGGGGAGGGGATAAATATCACATGTGAAACGCGAAAATCACGAAAAGTCAGCCACCTCTTCCCAGAGTTTAGAAAGTAAATACGACCCTCCTACCCCCTCCCACCCCCGTCCGTAAAGCGAAAAAAATCAACTATCAATAAGTTTTTCTCAGCCCAAATACAACCTCCCCTCTCCCTTCGACCAAATACGTTCCCTCCCCCACCCCTCCCTTGGCGATTCCCCAACAATGATGTGTACTGGGATACGCTTTCAATTGTTGAAGCTAAAAGGGACTGCATTCTGCATTCGTGCAGTGGAATCCTCAACTGCCATTAGCTTGAGGAATAGTTCGAGATGAAAAATTCCTCTATTCTAAGCTAAGTCTTCATACCTATTACATTGAAATTTTCCGCTCTGTTGTCCATGCTCATTTGGCTTCTGAAAGATGCGCATAATACGACTGCAATCTTAATCTTTTAGCCCTATGAGACATGCCCCTTTTAGACCTATTAGGGGCATTTTTAACAACTTCTTTAGCCTTTTTCTCCACTGCTAACTCTTTTAATCCTCAAATTTCTGAGCTCTTTATCGCGCTTAGCGGCACGATTTGTAAAATAATGTGACCTTTTTTCATTCACTAGACAGTAGTGTTGATATCGTCGCAACCAGCCGAGCGGTTGTAAGGACGGAATGAGCCCGCTCGCAGCTCCCTTTTCTGTCAACGGTGGTCGATTAGACATTGTTCACAGTCTGCGACCCTGACGAAACAGCGGTTCGGCGAAAAGCAATAAATACGTATTGATCGGAGAATCGCCAACCGCTCTGGAGAAACGCCGCCGCGTTCGGCGGTTCGGCGAAAAGCAATAGATGCGTATCGATTTCGCTGGCTCCGCCCTAGAGAAAAACGCCAGGGCGGTCGGGCTAGCGTTTTTCGCCCAACCGCTCCGCCGAACCGCCCGTCGATACGTATCAAAACCGTTTCGCGCAACCGCCAGACTCTTCGCCCAACCGCCAATCGATACGTATCGAAAGCTTTTCGCCGAGCGTTTCTTTCTAGAGAAACGCTGGGTCGCAGACTGTGAACAATGCCTCAGTGAAGATTCAGGAAGAAAACAAGCAAGTGGGAGAGAATGCTATCTCACGCCTCTTGACAACTGCGCCGGCTGGTTGCGAGGATATCCACTGAAAAAGTTGGTTAATGCTTCTTTCAAGGTGCTGCTCTTACGTCGGACGTCGTGGTGACGGTCCTCAAGCTATATCAATAGGAAAAAATTGTGACAAATTTGGAATTGTCGTTCATGAGCTTGGCCATGTTGTTGGATTTTGGCATGAACATACTAGACCAGATCGTGATCAATACGTCGATATCTTCTACAAGAGTATTCAACCAGGTAAATTCAATTCAAATACCGTACTTCAAAGTCAGCCGTGGTGTTTGGTTTGTGAGCCATCAACATTGTTCTGCTTCTTTTTTCTCTTCCTTCATAGTACTCATGAAACAGGAAAAATCACGAAAAGTCGACAAGCCAGAAGGAAAATTTTTTCCCAGCGCTTTCAAAGCCACATACGACCCCCTGCACGACAAATTTCTTCGAAGCCAATAGCGACTCCCCCGCCCCCTCCCTCACCAGCGAAAAAGTGCGACCCCCTATATGTTTCGCACAACGATGCTGTAGCCTGTTCACAATGTAGCGTGTACAGCCTTCGCTGAGTACCATTTGGTGCCCCCACCAAGCCGAATGCGACTCAGGACGTTTCAAGCAGATTCGATAGTTTTGTAGCTCTAGGTAAACAGCTGTTCGTAGAGATTTCGCTACCACTTACCCTTTGCTGCACCATTTTTTGAAATTCAAGCCAGATTTTGTCAAACTTTTCCTTTCATAATAAATTCTACGATAGTTTCGCCCCCAAGAGTAGTTCGACATCTGACACGAATATTTATTTATTTATTTTATAAATATCGAATATCAAATCCGTTAGAAATAAAAAGCTTAGCATCTGCGCCATGGGCGCCAGAGCTTCGCGTATTGCTCTTCCTAGGCGTTTTCACCTAGCTAAGGTGATATCCGCAATTAGAGGGAGAAAATAGCGATTCCGACTCTTCAAGAAATCTGGTTTTTCGAAATTTTTTTTGGCACTTGGCAAATTTCGATCAAAATCCGGCCAGCATTTTTATAAACAGTAAATAGAACCAATATTTTGTGTAAAGTTTTGTTCCATATATATTATGCATAGGACAGGATTACAACTTCGAAAAATCGAAACCAGAGGAAGTGGACTCCCTTGGAGAACCATATGACTTCAATTCCATAATGCACTATGCTCGTGATACATTTTCACGCGGCACCTTCCATGACACGATACTACCAAAACCAAGTTCAGGTGAATTCTCAGGCCCCCTAGGAAATAATCTGTATGTAGTTTGAGAATAGCTAAAGTTATACCTGATTAGGATTCCGATCTGAGATTGGACAACGAGTACAACTGAGTGAAGGTGATATCCGTCAAGCTAAAAAGCTCTACAAATGTCCGGGTGAGTACCTGTTCTTTTTGTTCCTTAGGTATTCATACTCTTGTAATTTATATTAATTATGGGATGGAAGTTTAGGGGATGCTAGACACCCACACATTGGGGCCAACGTCGTCGAGTAGGGGTCATTCGTTTGTTCATTCCCTTAGTCAAAGCTTAGGCATAGAGCGCAGATGACCAGAGTCACTGATGGATAGTCTTGCAGAAAGATATAGTTTCCAGTGAGGCTGAGCCTTGCAGCAAGCCAGCCGAGTGGAGAGTTTTTGAAAAAAAAAACTTTGTACGTAGTAAGAAATTGGGAAATGACATTGGTAGGTATTAATAGGATAATGGAGATAGAGGGGAGGTATACAAGGTGAGGAAATCCTGAGAAGTGTCCTATAGAAGTTTGCCCCAACGGCGGGACGTGCCCAGTCTGAGGAAGGGACACAGACGCTTTCGAGTGCCCTCCTCTCCTCCAACCGACGATGCTAGACCACTCACACTGTTACGATCTGTTATCTACGATGAAGTATGTTGGGAGGGGGCCACTGCCAGAGAGAGGGCGCGGATAATTATTACTAGTGACGCTGTCACTTGGCTCCCTTACCTCGGGCACATTATCGCGTTGTGGGGAAGTTTTGCAAAATACGCAATTTCCTCAACTAGCTATCATCCTACAACTTTTTCTCAGATCTATTCCTTCAAAGGAAGGGGCAGCGATGGTAAAGCGAAGCATTCTCCGGTCTGCTGTCAAAAGCACGGTGGTTGGTGGTCCTCGTCACCCACAATCTGAGGCGAGTCCGATTCAACTATGGGCAGTTAACATAGCGGCCTCACCCATCAGCTGTGACCTTCACAGGGATAGATGCCCTCGACTCCAGTAACCGTGGATCGAATTCTCGTGAAGCATGAGTAATCACCCAAATATAGCCCACTAGGTTGAGTGGCTTGCCTGGCTCCATCTTTCATCTCTTCCTCATTTTAATTTGACATGTTTCAAAAACGACTTGCCGTCACATCATTGCATACAGGCTCATAATATACTTTCACATTACTTTTAGCATGTGGAAGCACTCTAGTGTCAGAAGTAGGCGAATTAATTCCATCGACTGCTGGGAAATGCGTATGGCGTATTGTAGCGGCAGAAGGTCAAACGGTGTTCCTGAACCTGACAGGTTAGTGTTTTTTAAGGATTTTCTGAAGTATGTTAGTGTCTTCACTCAAGCGCGGAGCCTTTCTTTTGCCTTTTTCTTTGTTATTCTGTAGAAACTTGAAAGTAGCTCGTACAACCCTTTTGCGGAATTTTTTCGCAAATTCGACTCTGCTTTGCTTCATTTTTGGACTATTAGAATGACTGGGGATTTCTTTTCGTGCTTTTGCGTTTTTCGAGCATTGTGAACAAATCCGAGGTGTCCTGCAAGAGCTGCGAGACAAAAAAGTGTAAAGCTGGTTTTTTTGCTTTGATTGATAATCTGCCCTTTCGTCTAGCATTTTTTCAAGGCTTAGCACAGGAGATCTATGTTTCCGCTGCGAAAGTGGCGTTGTACAGTGCGTCTAGTGGAGGCGTCCCTGCATACGTGGGTTTTGGCCGGCGCCAGCTTGTTTGCACCAGCCGTTGCCACCTGGCGCAGCACCAAAACGTGCAGTCGCGGAAAAAAAACTTGAAACAAGCCCAGGTCGCGCGCTTTTCAAAAGCTTTGCCTAAAAGTTTTAAACTGTACATGGGAACGTTGTTTGCTCAAATCAAGTGCTTCTAGAAATGCTACTCTAAAAAAACCAGTTGGTTGATTGAATTCGTTGCAGGGACAGAATTTTGAAGATTACGGCGATGAGGCACTTTGAGGAAGGGGGAGGGGGGACCTGCGAATGGGGTGAGGGCTGCAAATGTAATGTAGGAGTCAACTTTATCTTCTCAGACGGGTCTACTACTAACTGCCTTTCCCCGCAGGCACGAAAATTTCGGTTGGCTTCAGGTGGGAGCCGATCCGGGCTTTGAACCCAGACCACGCACTTGTGGTAAGTGGCGCCACTTGCCACTACACTATCTCCGCTTAACCAAAATTTAATATTATTGTATTATAACATTATATTCTTAGCTTCTGACCCTAATACTGGTGTATAAGAAGAGATTAGATAGCTTAGAACAGATGAAAATGCCTTTTCAAAGCTTGTTCAAAGTTTTTTTTCGCATGTACATAGGGACGCATCCATCCGACGCTCTGATAAGCACTGTAGGTGGTGTTACCTACGCGGTATTGACACACTGGGACCTAACTGATTCAAAAGGAAGTTACTAAAGGGCTCAGGGCGACAACT